AAAAGACATGCAGAGGGGGAGGAGAATAAAGGGGCGAAAAAGATTCGATGGTCGGGAAGGAAGGAGAAACGAGTATAATGATGGATCGAGGCGTAAAAAAGGAGGGGCACATATTTTTGTGTGAACGGGGGGTTGTGTTATATTGCCACAATTTTGTCTCTGTCATTTTTTCAATGTTGATCTGTGGATAGGTTGAAATCTGTCAGATTTCACTGCATCGATTGGCCGGGCATCAATCCACGTGATCGGCTACCTTCTTCCCCCGAATACAACGTACGGTCATTATAGCTGTATTTAGACAGAAAGATACGCCAAATTCAGCTATAATGACCGTACGCTATATTCGGGGGAAGAAGGTAGGTCTCTAAGGTATCCCTGTGCTGCAGCATTGGGCAGAGTGCTGTCTACGATTTGAATCCGATAGGCATACCTAGGGCTCTAATGGTATTTGAGTTTTGGGTGTGCTGTATCTGAGTTCAGACTGTACTGCATATTGATATCATAACTATTATGACTATTATCATAGTTTATGATATTATGACTATCATGAATGTTATGTGCAGGTGGTTAATCATGGGCGGTTAGTTCTGGGTGATTGCAGATTCTTCCCTTGGTAAAAAGTAATCACCCTCGGTAAAAAGTTCGGGTAGGTAGGTAGATAGAGTGAGGTATAGTGAGAGAAGAGTATAGTGCGAGGCCACTGCCTCTATGAGCCCCATAAGGCCCCATTTTGCAGCAAGTCGACCGCCCTAAGTGAAGGCAGGCTCGATGAGGCCTTCAGAGCCTTATTCTGGCCACCACGCAACTCAAGGAAATTCAGGCAGTTGCGCAGCGCCAGTTGGTTGAGAGAATCCAGGCCCTGGGCCGCCTGTGTGAATGTATGGAAAACAGGCCCTGGGCTGGATACGGGTACTGGGCCAGACACAGGCCAAGGGCAGTTGGGCGCATGCAACCACCTCAGGCCCAAGGCCTGTTCTCGTTCGTGTTGGGCCTCAGGCTACCGGGGCCTACTGGAAGCTTCCTGGGACTGGACGCAGGCAGGCCACTTCGATATAGCAAAGGGCCTGCCTCCGCAGTCGTCATTCGGGTGCTGGCTGCATGCTGCGCTAATTGCTGGCTGGCGCCTACGCTCTCACGGGCGAGCAGGGAAGGAGCACGCAGCCATAGCCAAGCTGCGCTGCTGTAAGCTGGGTGAGGCGCAGGGTGGTCCTTGGGTGCTAGTGGGCCAGTGGCATCTGTGCGTTGGGGAACGAGGTTGTGAGTGTGGCGAGAGACATACCTGGTGCTGGAAGCGTGTGACATTGGTCGCTGTATGCTCGTGCTTCGGGAAAGCTGTTGACGTCATCTTTCGGCGTCGTAGTATAAGCTAGATAGGATCTGCCACATGTAGTCTGGGCGCCGAGCGCCAGATAGGATATCAACTCTGGTTCTTCATTGATGATGATGGGACTATTTCAGCATTGTCAATTATGAACTCTTGGTGTGTTCTTATTTGGTGAATCTCGTGATGCAATTCTGCTGTTGGTTCGAGGTCACGACTATCTGGACTCATATGTATGCTGCTGTTTGATTGCTGAAGTTCGCTATTGCTCATCTTCCTTGCAATAGCTTAGGTTATAAAATAAAATAAAATGAATGCAATGCAGGGTGGGGTGTATCCAAGCTTGTGGCTTGGAGAATGCTGCACAAGGTGTCTCGTGTTCAATCATGAGGGTGCACTGCATCTGAACAAGGGGAGTCCTGTATTCAAATACTACAAGGGTATTGTGGCTAGGTTTGAAGTCTGTACTTTGTCCGAAGTTGTAAGGACAGATGATATAGTTAGTGGGGGGTTTACAGGGTCAGTTTGGAAAATCAATAAAGGGGTAGTTCACCTCTGAACTTGCACAAGTTGTTTTCAGCTTGTCTACAGCAAACACCCCTCAGCTAAATTGGAAGCACGAGAGAGAGAGAGAGAGAGAGAGAGAGAGAGAGAGAGAGAGAGAGAGGGGTGCTACGGATTGCGAAGTTCATGCTGCTTAGGGACTACTTAGGTAGCAGGAAGAATGCACCATTTGCTTGAGTTGTGAGCAAAGTTCTTTGAGCTGTGAACTTGTAATTACTTCAACCTGCGTTTTAAACTGATCAGGATTCAGGACATATATATATATATATATATAAAATGAGTCGGTGAAACTCCGACGAAACAGTTTGTCACAGCCCCTCGTTTATTGTCCTCTTCTCTCTCTCTGCCTACGGTTTTACCGGGCAGTTCTGTTTGTGACGATATATATATATATATATATCTTTCTTTGTTTCGTGGATGTTTTGTTGGCTTGTGATGGGGTGTGAACCGACAGTCTGTAGAGTTTTCCATCTGGTGTGGGTGAGTGATAGTCTA